AAAACACCAACTACATTGTGTACATATGTATATATATGCATAGGTAAGTGCAACGTTACACAGTTACCAGCGTAAAAATCAGTTATAATGATAACAACGCTTTGCCGCTACCGGTTGCCAGCTGCCAATACGCTGCACAGTTGCAATGCCGATTGTGCGATGCGCTGTGATGCGATCCCGTTGTTGTTGACTGCAAAAGGCGGCCGTCGGAAATGTGGCAGTTGAAAGCTGGTGGTTGGCTGACGCTTGATAATAAAAGCCTACATGGACATACATATATATGTACATACATACGTGCTACATGCGCGCACGTCACAAGTCAGTGGTTTACTGCTGCTGCAAACTGGGGCTGCAGCCATGGCAATTCATACATTTTTGATTTTGTGTGCGCAGAGCGCAATATCGCACAGCACTTGGGAGGGATTGCTGTGTAAATTCAATGAATTGCGCACTCACCGCTACAACATGCGACGAAGCGTTGCAACACATGTAGGTATGCATACCTGTGTATATACATACATACATGTACATATGTTTGCATGTTCATCGTGCCTTAAATACGCTCGAACGACGGTACAAAAGCGCAAGTGAAGCATAGCGCGCAAGCGTACACAATAATTTGATGAGCTGCCGCTGGTACACCTGTAGCTTTGAAATTTTTCGATGTAGGAGAAGCCACGAATTTGTCAGCGCGAAACGTCAAGCACGTACAATTTGTATGATGAGCATCATGGTGCACGCCTGCGCCATACATATGTACATACATAAATATTTATATAAGTACATACTTGCTTTATGCATGAGGTGCATGCATACTTACATAATCGGTGAAAAATCATATCAATCGAAATTCATTCATAATTTTTGTGAAAAAAAACTTGAAGGAAATTATCATTATTAGTTAAACATAAACTTTATATACATACGTGAATTTTTAACAGGGTTGCAAATTTTTTCATTCAAAATGGTGTTAAAAAACTAGATTTTCAATTTTTAATTCCAATTATGCGTTAAAAATTTGTTTTAAAAAAACTTAGAAATTTAAAAATAAAAAGGAATTTTCAGAAATAAATTGAATTTTCAAAAAAAAAATTTAATTAAAAAAAAAATTGAATTTTCAAAAAAAATGTTTTTAAATTATCAAAAAAAAATTAAAAATTTTTACAAAAAAAGAAATATACCATATTTTACAAAATATGTTACAAATTCAAATTTCAAAATCCAATATATAAAACTGAAAATTTAATTTCATTCAAAATTTTTTTTTTTTTTGTAATATAAAATGTAAGTAAAAATTTAAAATTGATAAACGGTCAAAATCGGAATTAAAAAATTGATAAAAATGTTTTTGAACTCAAAAATGGGAGTAACAAATAAAAAAATGTGGAAAACGGTTGGCCTCAAGGGCCATCCCTGCAACTTCCCTCTAATTTCATACGCGTAACGTTCAAATTTCGCTTTTTTCACTGCTTTTGAGCTCTTCGAAATTTTTCGTTTTCGATATCTAGCAAGTAAATCAACCGATTTCGACCCGGTTTGCGGCAAACGATGTGTTTCTTCAAGGTTTAGAACTGGTTAGTTTTTGGTGTCGATCGGTCAAGTCGTTTGGAAATTCGAAAAAAACTACTGGTTCGATTGGGTCCAAACTTACACGAAATTCAAGTGCAATGAAACCCTTTGGAATGCCGTTTAGTTTATTGAAATCGGTTGAGCAGTTTAATAGTTATAAGAGGGTCACATACATCCACACACACACACATACATCCACTCATACATACAGACATACGGACATCATCGTAGAAATGTTCGGGGAAGCTTCCTCGACCCTCAGAACGTCGAGATCTGTTGAGAACTCGATTTTTGCACAATGGGGTGAAACCAATATCTTCCCGATTTTTAGAAAATTTTCCATTTTCTTAGCGGAAAGTTAAAAATTATGTTGCTGGAATGGAAAGAGATAAAATAGAACGTTGTACATATTTCTAACTGAAACACTATAATTACAAGCAATTAAATATGAATAAGACAAAAAGTGTGGAAAAAGTTTTAATTTTATAAAAAAGAAGCTTTCCTTTTCAAAAGATAAACAAAATAGTAAAATACGAAATCCGCATACACGAAAAAATTCTAATTCAACAGCTAAACAATTAATTTTTTAATTCTAGTTGTTAAGGAGGGATTAACATTTTTTTTATTTTCACTCCGGTATTTGCGATTAGAACATTTAATTTTTCGTTAAAAAATTAATTTCTAATTTTTGATCCCAAAAATTGTACGATACAAACAAAACCCGCCTCGGGGTTTATTAAGTATGCTACGAAGTTTGTAACACCTAGAAGGAAACGTCGGAAACTCTATAAAATATATATATAAATGAGCACTATATCATATAGCTGTCATACACACTGACCGATCAAAATCAAGTTTTTGTGTGGAAAATCTTTTTATTTCTGAAGGTTATTATAGCTTTTTTTTTAAATCCATATTTGAGATTAAAAATTTATTTTAAATGTTTTTATTCGGGTATTTGGGAATAATTTGAAAATATTGTTTTATTCAGATGCTCGGCTTAACAAAATAAAATATATTTAATTCAAATGTTGATTCAATTATTTTTGATTGCATTATTTGCAATGCTCGTGGCAAAAAACCATTCCTGAAATAATTTTGAGAAATTCTGCGGAATTAACAGTACTCCGCCGGTGAACAAACCGGGTCAGTTCCGGTTAGGTGTTTCAACTTGGTAACTATGGTACCTAAATAATATTGACATATGTATGTATGTAAGCAATTTATATTTTTTTATAATACATATGTACACATATGAAGTGCCAACCACAACTGGTGGTTACGCTAGAAACTAATAGACGTTAGTGAAGCAATTAAATAGTAAATATCTGAAATGCACCCTTCTACAGCAGAGTATATGAACTCTTTCACGCACACCACTAACACGGCATATGTACATACAAACGTAATTGCAACTGCGACTGTTGCAAGGCTAGAACCGTTCTCGCAAACAATTTTTATGTATGTGCAATAGCGGCACGTTAGTGCCGTTTCACATTGGGACGCAAAGGAGTCTCATACCAGTTTATTGTGGGTGAGGGGATGACGAGGAAAGACGAAGGGACCGTGCCACTCGTGTTCGGGTGGCACGCTTTGTGTTCTTGTTCGTAACAGCTCGCTGCTACCCTTTTCAGCATTCCTTTTCACTTTCAAATTCTTTGAATGGTTGCAAGAGCGCTCGGTTTCAAATAAATTCGATCGCAAATTTGAGTTCTGTTATCTATTTTTGTATGTAATATGCAAATACGTATGCATAGAATAATAGAAATATTATGACAAATTGTAAATAAGGAGAAAATTAAGATATAGATTATGGAGTAAAGAAATTATTATAAATTTGGCCTTGAAAATATTAGTAGCGGATATTCAATACATTCTTGTGGATTAGGGAATTCCCGTCTTTAGCATTTTTTTGAAACTATTTAGCGGGTAGGTACTTGTATTATGCATATTGTTCTACCATATTCATGGTAATTCATTGCAAGCAAAATGTGTGACCATCATCTCAACATACAAATGAAATACGCAGCACGCAGTGTTGCGCGGTGTTGCGCAGTCGAACCGCACAAATATTTACGAACATTTTGTGAAAAGGAATGCAGAAAAACTAGACTCGAGTTGCTGGACTCTTTTTGACCGTGTGAATGCCCAGAGCGACACCAAAAGAAAATTTGCAAAACATCAGACTCTTTTGAATCCCTGTCTGAAACGGCACGTTATAAGCCTGCACGCATATTAATAACGCACACATACATACAATACATATGGTATATCATACATGTACATATAAACAGCATGTACCAGAAATTTATGTATATTAACTTAAGTTTAAAAACGCATACGCTGAGCAAGTGCATTAGAAACCTTACGGTAACACAGCAACACAAGTTTTCGAAAGCCATTTTCAAAAATTTACGCTTTGCGTTAGCGCGTTGACAATGTCAATACGTCAACAGAGCTTTAGTATATACATACGTACATATATGGTAGCAATTGTACATGCTTCAGCAACCACTTAAAAAAATATGCCTGTATTTATATAAATTCGATATTATTCAATAACAAAGTACCATATATACATGTGTGCTATATACTTACATATTCAAATATTTTTGAAATCGACAAACGCAAGGAGGGATCGATAGCAAAACAGCAATAAAATGTAAAATAAAACCATTTTAGCAAAAGCTAATGTTGCATTTTGCTGCACAGGTGGTGGGGGTTACATTGTTGTTAATGGTGCTGTACCGGCAGCAATGGCTGTCAACGGCATCGGGTGATCGCACTGACTTTGCACTGTTATACAACAGACGGAGGCAATCAGCCAAGCGTAAACTCCAAGCAGAAAACATGCAACAACAAACAGAGTTGCTTTAAAAAAACACCATAACAACCTGCACTAATAAAAACAATACATATATCGATACAAAAACGAATGCCAACCGAAATGGTTTAATTAAATAATATAAATAAAAGCATATACAAACGTACGTATGTATTTATACATAGTAATTATAGAGTGCGAGGCACATAACATAAATTAATAAATATGCTACAAGTACTTAAATTGGTAAATTATGTGAATTATATTGGAGTTAAGCGAAAACCACAAGTAAACTAGTAAAATATTAAGTGCGCAACGAAGCAATTCAACAATGCAGCGCCGCTACAGTGCAACGTGGCATAATGAGGGCGGAAGAATAGCTCAGGGCCGAACAAAGCAGTGGCAATAAATGTACAAAAACGTTTTTGCAAAATAAGTAATGGCATAGTCAATCAGACCGGAAGTTAATTTTCAATAGCGCAGCACAGGTGCAACAAAAACGCAACACAGATATTTCACCCCTGTGATATGTGTGAAAAATTTTCGTTAAAGTATTTTCCACAAATTGATTGGTTATTAGTTAAAAAGAAATTAAACATTTACTCACCTTTAGAACTATAGCGTCTGCCGCTGCTACGGCCTCCTTAGCCACGCCCACGCCATCGGCCGAGATGGCATGCGTGGATGGCGATGTCGCATATACGAATAATGGCAAAGAATTAAAGTTACGCAAAATTCCACCACAATCCTTAAAGCGTCGACACAACAACAATTTTTTTCCACACAAACGAGATTCTGGTGCTTCATTCATGGCCATTACTGACATCGCTGTCACAGCAGGTGTAGCCGGTGTTCCTTCTACAGCTTCATTTTCATAACTGTATGTTTTGTTGTTGGTGTTTTGCGCTTTTTGGGTGTGTTGCTCCACTTCGTCAATTTCCTCCTTTACCGCTGTCTGTGTAACGCACCCATTTATAGTCGATGACTCCTCCGCTATATGGCTTATACGCTGCTGCTGCTGCTGCTGCCTATCCCCACCAGCCTCCGCTAATTGCAGTTGCTGTGGGTGTTTCAATGCATTTTCAGTTGTTGCCGTTGTTGTCGTAGCCATATCAATATCTTGTTCACTTACATATATACCACCAATACTAGGTGTATGAGAATGTGTATGTCGACTTTGTCGTTATGAATGAGCACTGTGATGAGTGATATATCTGTATGATTTGGTGGACGGTTTCTAAACTATGATGCATTGGCATGTTGCAGAGATACATGACCAATTTGCCGACATTGGGCTCTTAAAACATTTATCAATTAAAAAGCCAATTTATACATAGAAAGCGAATTGTGTTAATTTTTTTTTTGCGAACATAAAGTTGGAAAATATTCAAAATTGGCTAATAGTGTCGGCCATAAAACGAAGATTTATACGAAACAAAGACCGAAATCGGTAAGTATGGCAAACGAGAGATGCGGCCAAACGCAGTAAGAGTCGTACCTGCAAAATTGTCTTTGTTTCGATTTTTTCTCTATAGTTACTGGGTGCTTCCTTTACCTGACTTTTTACCAACACTGCATATATATTGAATACTTTCTTTGTTAATTTTAGCTTTTTCTCCAAATCATTTAATTTTATTTAATTTGTTAATTAGATCCTTCGATACTAAAAAGCACAACCACTTTTCACATCACTCACTCTTCTAGACCCGTAGATTAGCTTAACGAACAATGACCTTGCGGTTTGAACATTATACTGTACAAACAACTAGTGATTACCAAAGATAGTTTAAGAAGTAAGTTTTCACAGGTTTATAATCGTTCACTTTGCAAATTTCCAACAATAAAATAATGGTAAATTAAATATTCGGCTGCTCAACTCGCGAGTCGCGACGATTGAAAATTGACATTTATGTTGTCATTCCTTCTGTGACAGCTTCGTCTTTTAGTTTTGCTTTTAACAGTTACAGAGTTGCTTGGAATCGTTACATAGAATTAATAAAGTATTCGTAAATAATTAATTTACTATTTATGATAGCAAGAAATATATAACAGCTTTTAGATAGTAAAATTCAAAGAAGATACGCTTAATTAATTATATCAAAACTTTTAATGATATTATAGGATGGTAGGTAATGCAGTCCAAACAATATGCTTAATATATTAATGTTGGTACTAAAACTTATTAGGCTTGTTTTTCCAATATATATGTAATATATATACATATTTATTTAAATTTTTTTTGTACATAAATATTTAGAAAACTTGAAACATATTTAATTATGCATGTTTTAAGTTTTTAAATAAGGATAATGTTTCGATTAGGAATTGCGGTAGTTTATATACCTCTAACATTAAATAAAGGTTTCTAACATTTAACAAAATTGTATATGGTTAAAGGTTTACTGACATTAATGCATTGAAATATTAAACTTAAGTGTACGAAATATGTACATATAATAAATATAAATGAAAATATTTTTGCATATCAATTTGATGGAAATTTTTATATGACCCCTGTTTAAGTTTTTAAAACTACACTATCGACCGAAATTGGTAAAGCCTACCTTTGTTTCACTTATACATTAATAATAAATGGAACTCTTGTCTTAACCTGATACGTGCGAGTGAAACAAGACATTCACATAGAACTTTTCTTCGTGACAGATTGAATACAAATTTTAGTGAAAATAGTGAAACTTTCGGATATAAATTCAAATGATCAGCATAATAAAATTTATTGAAATTTTCTGTCATTTAAATGACTTAACTTCTTAGCAAATATCTCTGGTACTTAAAATAAGAAATTGAAAAGTAAGCGTGGAAAGTGTGAGTCAGCCGCCATAGTTCCGTTTGAAATCGCCGTAGCTACCAATTGGAAAAAATTAGCAAAGTCACAAAGAAACGAAACTCTGCGAGCCGCGTTAACGACGATTGTCATTCGGTTTGAGGTAACCCTTGTGTATATTCAGATTTCACCTAAAGAAAGTTATCTAAAAACTCATTAGCTTGGTGAATGCCTTTAAAGTAGGCGGAATATTTTTCTTTTAGCTTTTCAGAAAAACTGTCAATCGAGTAAATCGGTTTGTGTGGCTTTCAAAAGTTGTGAAAAGCGATAATAAGAGAAACAGAACAGACATTGAAATCAGATTGGAGAATCTAATAAGCGAAAAAGTGTAAAAGTGTGCGAAAAATAATTCGCCGAATTACTTAAATTCCGGCTGTCAAAAATAAAATCGACTAGACGTCGAGTTTTGTCCTGCTTGCGCGCAACGTTGACCAAGTGCGATCATAAGAAGTTGTAGTTGGGCTAGTCACACTACAGGTGTCCTCATAAGGGACAGAGATATTGAGTAGCAGCACCGCTTAATCGACTTTGTTGCAGACGAGTGCCGAAGCGAGTCGAGTCTGCAGGTTTTGGTCTTCGTGATTATTCGGTCTGATTGGTCGTGGTTGTTCGTCGAGACAAAAATTCAGTGCGATTGCTGCGAGAATTGAATTCGTCGTACTCGTGGGCTTTAAACGGCAAAGAAGGAAAATTTTCTTTTTTTTAATAGAAATTTAGTTTGTGCGCTACGCTCCACACACACATTAAAAATAAAATTTCAACAAAATGGCGTTAAAAAGAATTAATAAGGTATGTTTAATACGTTTAATATATAGGCAGCAATTGAAATGCATTTTAGGGCATGGTGCGAAACTTCTTTATGCAAGAAATAACGTGAAACGATGAGCCAGCAGAAGAAATGACGGGGAAGAATTGATCGAAAATGGGCGACGAAGCACCGACAGTGCTAGCGATAGCAACGACCACGACGTCTCATGTTCATTGTGATAATTTACTGACGGGAAAATTAGAGAAAAGAAATTTTAAATTGCAAATGTACTATGTAAATTAAATTATGCAGAAGTATTGAGCGGTTGTCATTTTGAGTTACCAAGAACTAAACTTTCCGGTAAATATTAGCGTTTAAGGGAACTTATTCAGACGGACTGGTTGGTATTGAACATCGGTGTCATTGTTGAACTTTAGTGTTTCTCTGTGATATAAAAACAATTAAGAACTAGTGAATTTAAAGTGCAAATATTTTAAAATACCGTACAGAAGTTAATCATTTAATATGTAAATAAGTTTCAGAATATTCCTGTGCATAGTACTGTAATCTAATTGTGAGATAGTTTTGTTATACGTTTGTACGCTGTGGTCTGGATTTGTTACTCAATTCGTTGGTATACATAGTAATTTATGTGCTTGAGCATTGTTAATCGACAATTAAAAAAATCCAGCATATTTCTAACCTTACTTTTGACACAACTAGCATGATATTAAACATTTAATTTGCTTGTTTAGATTTTAATTTATAACTGAAATCGTATAAAAAAGTTTTGTGCATACACCCCTCCTAAAAGTTATTTGTTGGTTTTGCCCTTCGGTATATCCAATATTCTTTACATCCTTTCTTCCAGTCAGCCGCATAAAAAGTTAAGAAAAAGGAAACAAAAACCTTCGAGATAAATATGGAAACAAGAAGGAAACAGTTCAGTAGCAGTGCGGTCGTAGTAGCGCTGTTGGTACTTTCCATTTCTTTTCCTCGCATGTAATTCACTATAGCGGAATACTCGATTCACTCCAATCGTAACGACGCTTTTGTCGCAGCGTTCTTACGTTGCTGCTGCTCACTCGTCAGTCGCTACAACATACCAGACTAATGAATGCTAACAAATGCTGTATTTGTATAATTTGTACAAGTAATAGGATTTTATATCGCTTTTTGAATCAAAGAGTTGTATATAATTTACTTAGCTTGATTCCAAATATATGAACTTATAAATTCTGCGATTTGCAGTCAGCGCATTTATGAAGTTGTAGTGCGCCGCTTACTGCGACGTTAGCGTAGCTGATGTCTAATCGTCTCCTCAGTGTTTCGACTTCGTGTACTATCGTTAGCAACAGTGTTGTTACCTTCTGCTGTTTGTCCCGCCGCAATATGTTTTTTTGTCTACCATCTGCAAATTCGTTAGGTTTTCAATATATTATGTGTTACAACCATATTTTCCGCTTGTGCTTCGTCTTTAAGTACTACTTGGACTTATTTGTTAGCGCATTATTGCATTAGTGTTTGTTTTTAATTTGTTGTTAAACCGTGTTGCTGCATTGCTATATTTGTAAAATTATTATTACATTTTTTTTTCAGTTCAGCTTTAATAAATACTATTTTATAATTATGTAAAAATTAATTTATTTTCGTTGTGCTTAAACTCTTAAATTGTATATACTTGAAAGTGAATTATTTGCACTCATAATTTTAAAGCAACACTGTTTTCTATTTTATCCAATGACTATAGTCCGCTGTTTTTGCTTTGCTACTTCTTCGTACGTAGATGTTTACAGCGGCGTACTCTGCTAAACGCGACGGTGGCGCCGCTGTTTCCGTCACCGTCATGGCCATTGAATTTGTAAATGAAACTGGGAATTCTTTGCGTATATAAAAATTAAAATAAGAGTTGAAAATGGCCAATTGCAAATAGTGAAAGGGTGTTTATATATATTTATTTTCACCATTTCTATTTTATTACAAACATACTCGGGATAGTTTCTGTTAATATAAAGGAAGAAATATTAGATGTGAATAGTGTTGAATTGGGTGATTCACAGATAGTAAATAAATGTCTTGGACAGTTTATATAAACATAAAATTCATTCGTATCCATATTTAGCAGAGCACGAGTGATATTTCAAAAAAAAAAACATTTGATTCTTTTTCAAGTCGTACTTATAAATATATATAAAAAACAAAATCATATATTATTTGTATTTTATACCTAAAAGAAACTACCATATATTATTTAGGAGCTTCTTTCATAAATTTAATTTACAAAGCAACATAAGTGAATTAATGTCCTACACTTTGTTGTTTTTTTTGTTTGATTTTTGTGTTGCCAGCTTACCTGTTATTTCAGGTGCTTAAGTTTATTTTCCCCTCTGTTCTTCAAGATCTTTAATATATCTACATACATACATATATAAATATGTATGTGCTTAAACTCACGTAAACGTATGCGGAACAAAACGATTGAGTCGCTGTCTGCGTCAAAATCTTTGCAATCACCTTTGCCAAGTCAATGGTTTGATCCACACCAACAATGCAATTGGAGCTGTACATGAGTCATGCAAAGCATACGCCAACATCAACTGTTTACATTGTGAAAATTTTTCCCGTTCATAACTAAAAAATGATGGTGAGCGAAACAAGAGCAGTTACCGGCAATCAAAGTCTTTTTCGGTAATACTTAAAAAATAGTCCCAGCATTGTATAATTATCGAATGCAGAACTAATGTTCTTAAATCCTTTGATTTAGTAGAGTTTATACCTATGCAACTGTTTCTCATCGTTCAGCAAGAGCAGTCTATATTCAGGCGACGTTTGCCAGCCACTCCGTTAGCCAATTTATTTTTATATACACATGTATTTATAAAATTCTGTTTTCTCAGTTTCCTCAAAGCATATATGCGTTGTCGCAAGCTTTTTGTTGTTAGCCTTATGGTATTTTGACAGTATACACGCGCAGTTTTAACTTTTAGCTCGATGTTGTTGCTGCTTGTCGCAGTGTCGTATTGATAATGGAATAAATTCTTCCACCTTCTAATAAATATGCGTAGCATAGAAACTACTTTGGATTAGTCTCATCAATTGCAGTTAGTTGTAAATATTAATGTTTAACGTTTGATTCAGTTTCCGTAACAACATTTTGCCTTTTTTTTTCTATCTTTGTTTTCCATTTTGGAAAGCAACACCAGCAGTAAAGCCTAAAAGTTAATTGGTGTGCGTATAAACGCATGTACATATTACACTTTGTCTATATAAAATGACCGTTGGTGTCGGCCGTTGTCGTCTCCTGTTTTTCTTCTGCTTAATACAATGTTCCGAACATATTCACTT